GACAAGTCACCACTCTTACTGAGGGTTGAGCAACGACCGTGCCCTTCGGACGAAAGCAAAAACGGGGGACGAGGAAGTCCTGGCAGACGGGTGCTCTGATAAAGGCTGCCCACTTTTTGACCCAGAGTTGGTACAGTTACAGGAACAGGCCTACATGACGAAGCAGAAATAGCGAAGGGATTTTCTCTGATACCCTTACGGCTAAGCCTTTAAGAGAGAATGAGTGTGCAAAGTTCATCTGAGCCCAAGGCCTGCCAAGTAGCCTGGGGCAAATCCTTCTCTTTCAGTCTCAGGGCTGGCATTAATCATTTGAGAATGATACTTCCGGCCACCCATCCGGGGTTGTTTACATAAAGCTTGCACAACTTTAATATAAAAACGCTTTTGGCAAGAGAGGTGCTATGACTATGGCATCTTTCAGATAATCACATTTGCAGCAGAAAAGGATTTGGCAAGGGTGAGCACGAGGGCCACGCCTTTGGATTCAGAGTCCATGAATGACCAGGGGTGAAAAACAAAACCCCAACCAGTTTGACTGAGTATAATCTGGCCTTGCAAATCTATTCCTTCAGAGCAGCTTGGTTTGAAAGCATGCCTCGTTTTAGAAACAGCTCTCTAATGATCCTTTTCCCAGTTTGTCCTTATTTTGAAGAGACTTACACCTTAGGTCCAGGGCAGGGACATCAACAAAATTCAATCAAATGTGTCTCCTTCTCATGGCGGGGAAAAAAATGCCCCAACCTGAGAGTTCATTTTGAACATCAAAAACTAGGGAGCCAGAATCCCAGTAAAATTCCAGTCCCTGGATTCTGCATAGCGTTTTTTTCCATGAAATAAATGTGCAATGATCGTGAAAATGTTCATTAAAGTATCTTTCTTACTTCTCGTAGAGGGCAACGACTGGGCACCAGTAAGTAGCAGGAGGGTACATTTCAGTTGAGAGCCAGAAATCAACAAAGTCTCGACAGCAGGAAGTCCAAACCTCAAAAATAAAGTATTTGTGCATTTTCTGAAGACTTTGAACAGTACAAGGAAGGCGGATGTGACATCTGTTTGCCGGGTGTTCAGCAATCACCCGATCGAGATCAAAGGAATGATGACACCTGGATTACAAGAATATGAAATGGTGGTTTGCAAAATGAAGCTGCATCAGCCTCTGTTTCCCAGAGCTTAAAGGCAAGTGCAGAGCTCCTTGGCTCTCCAAACTGCCTTGTTTGAAGAAGGGGCAAAACACATCATGACACGAGTGATTTTCAGATATGTGGCTTTTGCATGAGGTATCTCCTCCCCAGGTCTCTGCGTTCATACAAAGGCCAATGCGCCAGAAAAGCCTGGAGTGCAAGGACAAGCGCTCATGGATCGAGTGCCAGAGAACTGAAGCAAGAGGTGTCTGACCCTGGGGCCACATGGCCGGGCGACTCTTCACATCTGGCTCCCAGCTTCTGGGAGAAAAAGCTTCTGACATTAAATAAAGAAATACAGAAAGGAAAGGGGAGGAGAGGGAGAAGAAGAAGAAGAACAGATGCCTAAGCATTAGGCAAAAAGGCATGGACTCAAAGGCTAGCTCCTCTTCCCCCCAAGCCCAATCCTACCGCGCCAGTTCCTCCCCAGCCATGCTGGGTCCTCTTCTGGCAAGGGCTCTACCACCAAGCGAATGTCCACCTTGAGCACAGACTGGTTCTGCACTTGGTTTGCCCTCCAGCTTCATTAATGCATAAGGCCGAGGCGAGGGGCTCAGAGAGGCCTCTGCAGCTTCTATAACGTGAGACCCCTCAACTCTCTGGCCGGCCGGGTCTCCAAGGGCAGCCTTTAGAATCCACGGGATTTACGAAACAAGCTTCAAGCCAAAATCCAGCGGAAGGAAGGCCAAGGGAGCCGCCTCTTGCTGCCACTTCATTCCAAGAGGGAAGGTCCTCTTCCGGCTGCCCACCCTCGGAGAAGGCATCAGTGAGGTGCAGAAAGGGACTTAAGAAAAGGGCTTTTATTCACGTGGCTCTTTTAAATGGATTCCACATGGAAACATTTCCCCCCGGCTTGATTCTTTAAAAGCACCAAAGATAATCTTTGAGCAATGAATGGACGGGTGCCAGAGATATATTCTGTTCATAGATGCGGCGTTTCTTCTATTTTCAAAGGGATGCAATCTGCTTGCCATCCTCTACCACACCTAATGGGGCGGGGTCTCTGCTCAGATACTCATTTATTTACTAGGTATTTAAAATATGTTTACTCTGCCTTTCTCCTTAAAAGGACCCAAGGCGGCTTTCAAGACGCTTGCTATTCCTGATGGGAAAAGCAGGGCTGTTCCCGCTGCTCCCACTGTAGGTTCCTTGCAGGCCATCCTTTGAAATCAAATTAATTCTGGGCATCAAGTCCAGGGGTTGGCAGAGGGTGGCTGGAATCGGCCCTGAGCATTCCTGCCAAAGTAAGAGGGCCCTCCGGCCCCTGAAGCTTTCTAAACTAGAAATTTAATGGCAGGCAATTAGACCTTATAGCTTTACATTAATTGCCTATTAAATCTCACTCACATAAAAACGCACCAGGCTGCCGACTCTCAAAAAAGGAGTTCATTCATTAANNNNGGGGGGGGGGGGGGAGAGAACCATTTCCCCCCCCTCCTCTTACGGTCTGACCATTTGAGAGGGGGAGGCAAACCCCACTAACCTGGTGGTCCTCAATTTATTATCTTGACTGCCGTGACTTTTAACATCTCAAGAGTGCAGGGAGAGCTGGCTGGCATCTCTGCAGGTTTCTCAGCCCTGTGATCTTTTACACGGATCATTTCCAAAGAGCCTTCGCCACCTGTTTATGGAGGTTGGTCTTGGACAGCTTTGCTGAAGCTTAGAATGAGGAACTGGGCAGTGAGGAATAAAGGCTCCCTCAGCCAAAACTTAGAAATCTGACTTCTTAAAAGATGACAAGTCCCAGATTTGGGATGGCAGCTGCTCTGGATGACAGCCCCCCCCCCCAAAGGCCCCAGCCCGCTCGCCTGCCCCTCAGTCATGCTGGCTGGGAGGTTCTCAGAGCAAACCATTTGCCTTCCTGAGCTCTTGCCACCACACGAAGGCAGGCGGCGGGGTGTGTGGCTCAACCGTCTGACATTCCACAGATCATCATCATCCGACAGACAAAAGCTACAGGATCATCACCCGCAGGCAGAGATACTCGCTGGCAGAAACGAAAAGAGGGGCGCATGCTAGTCGAGGTGGCTTGGAGGGAGCAAAAGCAACTGCTGCAGGAGGTTTACAGAGCAGCCCAGTCGGCCCATCCAAACTGAGGTTTAAGCCGCTGATCCGGCTGTGCCTGTCGGCTGAAAAGATCCTCAGCAGGAAGGCTGCTGGCTGCAGGCGGGCGCTTGCATAGCAGCGTTCCTCACTAGGTTTGTTTTTAAACAGTCCAGAACGAGGTTCGGGATCTGCAGGTGCCCCCCCCCCAGCAAGGCCCCTGACGGGTCCAGGAGCACCACCGGTCTGATACGGGAGATCTTTTGTTGTGACCGCTGGATGGGCCTTGGACTTCCAGCCCCCGAGAAGTCCCCATTTCCTGCCCCGAAATGCACATTGTGAGTCTTGAGAAGGACGCCAGCCTCAGGCGACGTCAGAGGCCCAGAACTCCTCTCTTCCTTTCAGGGCCCCCCACCAGGAAGCATTGACCCCCCCTTCTCACAGCCCCTCCGTTCCTCATGGCGCAACCAGGCCCAAATCCCACTGGCCTCCAGGCTTCCGGCGGTCCCTCTCGATGCCCAACAGAGCACGTTCTGCACAGGTGAAAGCGGGGTTTAGTGTTGTCCAAATTGTGCAGAGGCTGAACCCACCCCACAACCACACCACACAGTCCACAGCACTACAGACATGCATGCAAAAGGGTTCAGCTTCCCAATGCAAAAACGGCGAGCCCTCCAGAATGCTTTATGGGAGTGATTTTCCACTTAAGCCTACTTGGCGGGGGGTGTGTGTCCCCTGCACCTTTTGGGGGCTCCAGACAGACTTTGACTTTAAAAAAAGAGGAAAGAACTGGGATGGGCAAAAAGCTGACGGCTACCCATTGCAAAGGGAGGGGGGATCAGAAGCATTGACAGTCGCCGCTTCCCGCCGTGATGGTGGTGGCACCCGGAATCAGGCAAAGGGTCCAGTGACCTCGTACAGGGAAGGCTCACCGACTGGGGCTCAGCGAAGACAGGAGCCAGAACCTGCCTGTCTATTAACCGCTGCCTTTTTTTTAACCAACAAATCAATAAGCGCCTTGCAAACACGCTGTAATGGGATACGGGTTAATAATCCCCCAACCTCATTCTTGCTAGTGAATAAAACCGGCCCTTTCCATCTACCGTCCGCCTTTCACCGGGCTCCTGCCATTAACTTTCAAGGCACGTAATTAGCGCGCCGCCGTGCAGAACAATGGCATAATAAGCCGATCTCTTGCCACGCCAGGCTACTCAAGAAAAACAGGAATCATTCTTATCTGGCCTGCCAGCGCTCTGTGTTTAAATTCCACGGCCCTTCCGTAGAACTCATTTGGAAACCACAGGACTGGCTAGTGCAAAGTTGCTGCTCAGAGAACATGCCAGAGGGAATATTGTGGCACTTCACAAGTTCTGAGGAAGCTTGCATAACTCCAATGCAAAGAGAAACAATCCCGATAAGGTAATTAAGAAAGAAATAAGCAGCCCGGTTCTGCTCTTTCTCTTCAAAATCTAGCCACAGCTTCCAAGTTGCTATGAAGCGTTTTTATGACAGCAGGGCAAATGCTCTGACCATCTTCTGCAAAGGGCAAGGGAGGGGGTATTTCATTCTGCCTCTGGCTCCGCTCCCCTGTGAAAAAGAACCCCACCCCACCCTCGTAAAACACCTTGTCAAGCTTTGCTCGGACTGACTGACTCAGCAGCCCGAACAGGCCACGGAGCATTGCTGGGAAGACCCTCTAGGGTGGGGCGATAGACCAAGTCAGGATGGGCTCCTGGCTGTTGAATGTGCCTTTTGCGGCGTCAAGGGCAGCCTTACCTGGGACCTTGTCGACCGAGGCGAAAACGGAGCGTTGCACAGCAGGGTCGTAGCTGCTGCGTCGGGCTTGGTCGTAGAAGCGGAAGGGCAGGTGCTGTGTGGCGGAAGCGGAACCGTGGCCAAAGCCCATCACTTCGTTGGAGGGCTGGACCGGGAGGTCTAGCAGAGCTGGGGGGGAAGCGAGAGAGAGACATTGAGCCTACATCACACATCCCAGGGAAGCACCTAAAGGGAATGGCCTGGAACGAACGGGGCCAGCGGAGCCCTTCAGGCAGGAATGAAGTCTCCACCACCTTCCTAGGAGAGTTTGTGCCACGTGCTCGAGCGAAGACGGCCGACAGCTCAGGCAGGGTGTTCAGCTGCTGCCCGAAGGAAAGGAGGAGCACTCTGGTCTCCCAAAGTGCAGAAGGGGGAATGCTTGTGGCCAGGCACTGTTCATGCATACGTTAACCTCAGGTATCACACATCAACACAGGGCTGTTGCCGTGCCTTTTCGGGCCTCTCTCACGGAGGTGACGTTAATCTCCTCTAACCTTTCATAGGCGCGTTGTTGGCTGGGTGAGAAGCCAGCCAGCCAGCCAGCAGGGCCACTGAGAGCCTGGGTGGTGCCACAGAAGTGAGACTCGGGAGCCTCCCTGAGTCACAAACTCACTGCGTGGCCTTCACCTCCTCACTGTTTTATTCTGACCTACCTCGTAGGGTTGTTGCTGTGAGGAGAAAATGCAGAGGACAAAAAGAGGGCGTATTCTAGGGCCTCGAGATTCTTGAAGGAAAAAAGCCAGGACAGAAATGTAACGGTATAAACAAGCAAGAAAGCAAATGTTCCCGTGTGACTAAGCGTTACCTGCAATCCTCTGCATTTTCATACGCCGAGCCTGGATGCGGCCCTTGGCCAGGCGCTGCTTTGCAATGATGCAACGGATGTGATCCGGAAAAATGAATGTGGCCTGAAGGATGGGGAAGGGCTTGGAGTGAGGACTGGAGGCTGGCTTGTGGATGGTGATATTCAGAGCCCGACTGTCGTCCTCGACTCCCGTCACCTGCATGTCCTGTAGAGGGAGGGGAGAGGAGAGGAAACAGGGGGGAGAAACCCCACCTTTCGTTGAGGGACAGAAACGCTCACAGAGTCAAACCCTGGATGATAAAGCGGCAGCCTGACAAGAGGCCATCTTTGCCTGGAAGGTGAAGCCAGGCTGCCTCCGGCGGATGCTGCTCCACAGCTCAGCTGCCCTTGAGCTGCTTTCTCCCTTTGGCATGACTTGGCCAGGATGTCCGAGCCTCGGCTTGCAAACCCTAGCCTGCTCAAATGCAAGGAAGCAGGAGCCGTGGCTGGGCACGCCACCACCGGCTGGTCCTTGCCGGTTCGTGTTCCCTACTTCCCTGGCAGACCACCTGGTTTGCGCTCACCTGGAGAAGTCCTGCAAACTTCACGACTCCCCAGCCTAAGCGGACGGCGTCCGGCTCAACCAAGCTCATCTGATATATGTCCACAGCCAGGAACCGCTGGACTTGGACCCCATCTTTGGTTACCACGGTGCAAGCGATTAAGTCACTGTTATCTGGAGAGGAAGAGAAGGAGGTGCTGTCATCCCCTGCTTCCACAGAACAGGATATTTTCAAAGGCACCCGGGGGTCACGCCGGCGCTCCAACCAGCTCTGTAAATCTTATTTGCATGCATTTAATCGGGCTGCCTCCTTCCTGCTTTCCTGGGAATAAACCTCACGCAGCCCCATGAAGAGGCCCGGGGACAAGAGTTTCAGAAGTCCAGCCTGGGGAGGTGGAACACAGTGGGTACCCCAAGCCGGACCCCGCTGGTGTTCACTCGTTTTTTTCAGCAGCACGGAGGGACGACCGCCTTGTCACACGACCAACAACGTTTGTCCACTCCAAAACAGCCGGTCAGGAGTGCTTTCCCTCTTCACCCACAAGAAGGTCCTCTACAGTGGACTCTGGTGCCACTTTTGACCCTGTTTTTACCCTATAAACCAGCCAGCTGTGCATGGATGCTCCTGGGAAGGAAGGCAAACGGATGTAGATGTTTTAAGGTCTCTGGAGCTCACAGCAACATGTACACGGCAGAAACATTTCTCCTCTGGGACGGTTCTCTTAGCATCTACCATCAGCAGTAGGCACAAGAGAACAGTCTCAGGGGCCACTTAAGAGTAGGCTGGTCCCCACCATGATGTGAAAGAATGCTCTGCAGTCTGATTAGAAACAATAAATGATAGGAGACTGTTTTCTCCTCTTCACTCAGACAAACAGGCCATGCTTCTAGAGAGCATGGTGAGTCTCTACAGACTAGAAACACTTTGGATTTCTGGGGTGGAAAGGAAGCAGCCTGAGATCTGATCTTGGCAACAGCAAACTTAGAAGGAAGCGATGCATGTTTAGACAAGAGTCAATGGAAAAACTGAACTCTGAGATGCACTTTAATGCACCATAGCTCAATTGTGATTGTTCTATAAAACAGAAGGAGGTTACAGGAATAGACATTAAACCACATCAATGAGCATTACTAAAAGTAAAAAGTTAAAAAAAAGAGAGGGAGAGATTGCTAGGTACCAATCAAATAATCAATATGCAGGAAACGACACCATTCCATTTCAAAGCAAAGAAAAAAAAAGAACAATGCAATTTGATTTGCTTTAAGTACATCCATATAAACTGCCTGACAGATACATTATAATTGTGTTTCCAGTTAGTTTACCAGCTGTGTATTTAAATCTTCCCGCTTCTTGCTAGAACAGGGACTAAGAGGTGCCTGAAGACAACTCCTAGGGCTGTCATTCCAGTCCCAGGGCATCTTTTCTTTTCGGGACACCCAGCTGGGGATCTGGTCGGCCATCGATGGTCTGTTTCCTGATCTGAAGTTTAACAGCCCCAATCTCACAGCAGCAGCACCCCCAACACTGAAAGGAGGTGATAAACTAAACTGGGGCCAAGACATCGCAAACCAGAGAGCGATCCCACTGTCTTCCAACCACCTCAGGTGGTTGCTGTAAGGCACAAGAACAGGACACATTTGCTTCAGAGTTCTGCTTGTGCACTCACTCCACGTTCTGCCCGATGGCTAACAGCACGGAGGTTAGCAACTAGAAGCCCCAAAGCCAAACTAGCTGGCCAGTTTTGGTTTTCCGTGGGTTCAACCCTTCCTAACCTTCCTCTCAGTTCTCTTATACCGGGCTGATGTCTTCACTGGGCTTCCCCTCACAACCCGTTAAGTCCAAATTCGGTGACCATTCCCGTGTAGGGAAGTCTGCAAAACTTACACAAGTTGTGTACCCTGAAGTCACAAACAGATGGAGGGACAGCTTCTTTGGAAAAAGTAAACCAGTCCATCTGTCCAAGGAGACATGAGGAAAGGATGCCATTGGCTACTCACTCAAATCTAGGACGTCATCGGTTTTAATTAAGTCCTCCTCCCTCGTTAAAGGCAATTGCGTCTCGGGCTCCTCTCGGAGGTGCAGTGAAATTGAACGCAACATGAAGAAGACGCGGATCGCCTGGAGGCACAGAAGGGACCGTGGAGAAGATTTGTTAGAGGCGGAAACACTGAGCCTCATCTTCAAAAGGATTTTTTCCCAAAAACATCACAAAAGAGTTAATCACTTTTGTTCACTTTTATTTACATTGTCATATTATTGTTGTAAGCTGCCTAGAGTGGTCTTAATCGACTAGATAGGCGGGAGATAAATAAAATAAATAAAATACACACAGATTGCTCAGTCTTGGAAAGTGGCCATAGAAATTTCAAGAAATGCCAGGAAATCCCCAAGTATAAAAATTAGGACTAGAGGGAGTAACTCACTGCACATTTGTGATTCCTGTGCCACAATTCCAGCACAGATTCATTTTGTAAAACCTGGCTCCCATTTATTCAGTATTGGAATAACTATACTGATGCTTTTAGCAATATTTATTTATTTACAATATTTTCTCCTGCCTTTCTCCTTAAAAAGGACCCATCTGACACTCTGGTTGTTATGTGTTATTTTGGAAAATTGCAATTTTTATAGGGTTTTTTTTTGTATTGTTAATCCTTACTTAAATAATGTTTTTAAAAACGTAAGAGTAAACATGCCTTGTAGTATATCAGCGGGATTGGCCGCTGAATATGACATAAGGAAAGGTCTCATGGGTTTCTGTTTTCTCCTTTTTAAAAACCACTTCTCTAAGTTTGTACACAAAATAAAACACAAAAGAGTGGGGACAGAGAGCAGAGTCTGTGTTAAAACCCGCCTTGTGTGTTTTTCTGCAGCTCTCCCCTCAATGAACAGTTTGGCAGCTGGGTGGGCTGACCCGTTGCTGTAGCTGAGACCTTCTCGGAAGGAACCTGCAAGAAACCCATAGCTATCATAGCCTATCATAGCTAGGGCATTTCCATCTAGAAGAGGGCACGGGTTGAGCACCTATCAATGTTGATTAAAAAAAAAAACACACCAAAAAAGACACCACCACCACACAGCACATGTTGCGTAGTGCAACACAAGAGCACCCAGAGGGATGTGGTTTGTGGTTCTTCACAGAGATAGGTAAAAAATGCAGAACTGTTTCGAAAAAAACGTAAGGAGGTTTCCTTGGAATTGCAACCTTTGTCTTTCGCAGCAAAACCAAGGCCCGGAGAGGAAAGGACCCTCACCCGTGTTCCTGGGAGGGAAGACAAACAAAGAGGATTTTTAAAATGTTGTTG